ATCGAGCCTTTACTGGACTACCACTGTGTGCTAAGTCCTCACAAGTTACATGTATCATTCTCCACAGACAGATAAGAATATATAAGTTTATAGAGCTGAAATAACTTGCCCAGCTCACATAATGGGATTCAAATCCAGGCCAGAATGCCTGACTCCAAAGGTATGGTAATTGCCTGCGCGACACTGCCTCTGCTAGAGTGTGTGGGACCTTAACAGCAGGCCCTAGAGAAGTGGAGGGAGCTGGATTTAGGCAGGGACAGGGGAAGTAAACTCTCTGTAAATCTGATCCCTGAGGGGGATGGCCAAGAGCCTCAGGGATTGTGACGAACTTGATTTGATCTGAGCTGGTATTTAGGAGGCGAGGACTTTTATCTGGAAACAGGGCAGGACATGACTTGGTCCCAGGCAGTGCAGATACTTAGATAATTACAAGGCCCGGGCGGGGGCGGGGGGCGGGGAGGAATAGAGCAGCCAGGATTTGATATAAGACTATAGTTAGCCAAAGTTTGCAAGGTAATGGTGAGAAGAGGCTCCGTTTAGAGAAGAGGCTCCTCAGCAAAGGTTGGGAGGGCCTTGGAACCCAGGTAAAGCAGGCTGGATTCAGGAAACTAAAGCATAAACCAGGAAACCTTTTACTGAATTGCACTGAATGTTGCTTTTTGGAGCCTACCTCTCATTTCTCCTTTTTGTTGGTATCCTAACAACATGGCAGCAGTGTGGTGCAGTGAAAAGAGTTCGACTTGGGGCTCCTTTCTTTCTACTTGCTAGCTTTGAATGTTTTGTCAAGTAGCCTCATCTCCTTGGATTTCATTTTCCTTATTTTAAATATGGATTTTTTTTTAAGATTTTATTTATTTATTTGACAGAGAGAGAGAGTTAGTAAGAGCAGGGACACAAGCAGGGGGAGTAGGAGAGGGAGAAGCGGGCTCCCTGCTGGGGCTCGATCCCAGGACCCTGGGATCATGACCTGAGCCGAAGGCAGACGCTCAATGACTGAGCCACCCTGGTGCCCCTAAATGTAGACATTTTAACACTGGCTTCACTTAGTGGCTAATAGGATGATATGAGGGATAGGTTATGTTTGGATGCTGAGGCTTTGTAGCCAATGAAGTCTTATTCTTATGTGTTAAATTTCCCATAAAACCAGGGCTTGAAGCTGTGTGAGAGGACAATAGGCCAGAAAGCAGAAGTTGGAATGGTATATGTCAGTGATTATAGGCAATGGGGCATTGATTAAAAATAGACTGCAGCTTTCTTTGGAAGAGGTAGTGGGACTTAATGGAAAGTAACAAGAAATGCTCATAAAACAGTTCTTTATGCACAGAGGAGCCAGTTTTTGCCTTGTTGCTAGGGTCCCAATTGTTTCCTGGCTGTGTTTTGTGTGTCTGTGTCAGGCCATTCTGTGGGTTCCTTTCAAGAACTTGGTGATATTGGCCTGCAGATAATTAGATCAGTGTCATCACTTTCACTGTCCCCCTTTTTATTCTGCTGGGACCATTTGCATGAAAATAAAAGTGGGTGATACTCCTTTTCCATTAACAAGGCTTAATTTCTTACTGGGATATAATTTGGGAGACTCATCACATATAGCAGCTTTGGAAAAAAGTCCCAAGTCAATATGTAAGTGAGCTTGCTTTAAAGAGGCTTATGAGACCCAAATGTTCAGCTAAGTCTTCCACTTCCCAAACTGACCCTTCAAAATCTTCCCCTTGTAATACAGAAGATCTTCATCTGGGGTTAATCAGGATACAGCTTGTGTAAGAGAAACATTTAGGAAACTTACGTTCTATAGTGAAACTGGTTCTGAAGTTCATAAACATGTATGTTTCTGCAGGTCTTTTTTCAGCTTAGGGCTTTTCAAAGAGCTAGACCTAAAAGAAACCCCAGTTTGCAACAATGAAGTTTGGGAGAAAGATTCACATATTTGTCATTAATTTGTTATAAAGCAATGGAGGTATAGCAGAAAGAGGATTGATTTAGGTGTCAATCAGAATCAGATTTAAATATTAGCTCTATCATGTATTATTAATTGTGTGATCTTGATGACCTTGTTTTCTCATTCTAGAAAGGGGATAACAAATTTATCTTGCTACTGTCATTGTCACATATCAAGATGTGAATTGTATAGCAAAGGCCTATCAGAGTAAGAAGCACCATTCATTGCTCACTAAATGTTAATTCCATTCCTCTTTCCTCTTTCTTTCCTCATATTCCTTAGTAATTGATAAAAAGATAATGGTATCATTTCTGCACCAGACTTCCTGGATCAACAGTTTTTACACATGAACTGCTTCCAGAGCATGTGAAATCCATGATATAGGCAATTTCTTTTGATTGTTTCTTTTCCAGTGGTAAGAAACGGAAGGGGGGGAAAGAGGGAAAGTTTTTTGAGTGATTTATGAAGATAATTTTATTCTTATGTCAGGATAGATATTTGCGATATTAGTTGTTTGTTTGTTTTCCCCCACACTTCCCCCATTTTCTTTCCCCTTTTAAGCAGGTAGCCAATCTTTGTGTTTCTTGCTTTAGGATTTGTGGTAAGATAGAGAGCAGGGGATATTCACATCCTCCTTTCCTGGCTCTTGTTTTCCAAAGTCCAAGCTTTCTGAAGGGATCTTGTTATGTGCCCTGAGAGGTAGAGGGAGGGAGAAAACCCTTTGAGAAGCAGCAAGGCAAAGAAGAGAGGTTCCAGGAGACTGAGAAAGGGATAAAGATTTGTGGGTCCCTTGAAAATGGCTTTCTACTCCTTGGCATTATCTCCCCGCCACTCCCGACAGGGGATAGATATAAAACCTTAGTGGAGTTCCTAGCCTTGCCCAAGGTTCCGAGCCTATAATTAATCAAAGAATAACAATAGCTAACACTTATATACTGTGTGTCAGGTACTTTTGAAAATGCTACATACTGGAATTTATTTCTCACATAAACTCATTAATTATTATCATTCTCCCCATTTTATAGATGAGGAAACTGAGGTTCAGCTTGGAAGGAGTAGAGACAGGGTTTGAACCTGGAAATCTATCTCCTGAGTCCATTTTTCTAACCATTTTTCTGACTTCTGGAAAAAACAGAGACTGGTCTGAATGGGCCTGCAAATTTTGAGAGACTGTGTCTCAATGAGAATGACCTGTGACTGCTGACTGGAGAATTTATCCTAAAGTTTTATGCTCTTTTAGACCTCAGAATCTTGCAATACCTGGCAAAAAGGTATCCCCAAGGATGACTGAGGTTAAATTTTCTGTCTGTAAAGCTGGAGGGAAGCTTGGTATCAAAGTTAAAATTATTTAGAGAAAATAAAGAAACATAGGGATGTTTTTGTTTTTGTTTTTGTTGTTGCTGAAATTCTTACCTGCTAAACTTTGATACCAAAGTCTGGCAAAAGAAGTATAAAAAAGTATTTGTATCATCTTAAAATATTAAGATCAATAAACCTTGCACCTAATTGAGTGCCCACCATGTGCCATGAGACATAGATCTTATTTAATCCTTCTGTGGAAGGAATTAACACTTTAGGAAAATTAAATAAGTAGTTGAAGCTCAGATAGCCATCAAGTTGTGGAGTTAGGATTCAGATCAAGGATGATTTGATTTCAAAACCAATGTTCTTTTCCAATATGAAGCACTATAATGCCTCCATACTGCTGCATAGAAATGTCTTTAATAAAATAACTAGGTTTAATTTATGACTATATTAAATGATGAATGCATCATACAAAATGTAGTTTAATTATAGAAGTATTAGGCAAATCCAATATTAGGAAAGGTAATAATGTAATATATTGTAATAATAATATAAAATAATTGTAATGTATTATCACCTGTAAATCATCTTGATAAGAGTTAAGACATCATTAAAAAAGAATTATACACCATGCCCAAATGGAATTTATTCTAGATGTTCAAGCCTTGTTCAACATTCAAAAAACAATTAATATGATTCATCACATCAACAGGCTAAAGGAAAAGCATGAGCATATATCATAGATGCAGAAATAAATATGTCCAACAAAATCCAACACTCATACCAAAAACTAATGATGTAATATATGGTGATTAACATAACAATAAAAAAATTAAAAAAAAATCCAACACTCATGCAAAATAATAAAATCTCTAGCAAACTACAAATAGAGGAAACTTCAAGTTTAGGAACAAGACAAGAATGTCCCCTCTCAGCACTTCTATTCCACATTGTACTGGAAGTCCTAGCTAATGCAGTAAGACAAGAAAAGGAAATAAAAAGTAGACAGGTTGAGAAGGAAGAAATAAAACTATCTGTTTTTGAGATGACAAGATTGTCTATTTAGAAAACCCTAAAGAATCCACAAAAATACTCCTGGAACTAATAAGTGATTACAGGTTAATATACAAAAGTAAATCACTTTCTTACATGCCAGCAATGCACAATTGGAATTTGAGATTAAAAAAGTAATGCCTTTTACATTAACACCAAAAAAATCGAGATATTTAACTTATAAACATAAACCTAAAGAGTAAAATGTCTATATGAGGAAAACTATAAGTCTCTGGTGAAGAAATCAAAGAAGGTCTAAATAAATGGAAAAATATTCCATGTTCATAGATAGGAAGCCTAATTATTATTAAGATGTCAGTTCTTCCCAACTTGATTTATAGATTCAATGTAATCCCAATCAAAAGCTCAGTGAGTTATATTGTGGATAAAGTGAATCTCAAGTGTATATGGGAAGGCAAAAGAACCAGAATAGTCAACACAATACTGAAAAAGAACAAAGAGCATTGACACTATCTAACTTCAAGACTTACTATAAAGCCATAGTAATTAATACATTGGCAGAAGAATAGACAAATACATCACCTATTAAAGGACAACTTAGTTATTTCCAACTTCAGGCAGGTATGAATAAAGCTTCTATAAACATTCTTTTTTTTTTTTAACAACAAACAATTTTTTATTAAATTTCTAATCAAATACTATAATAATTTCTTTTCTTTCATAACAAGTTAAATATTTACAACACTATCAATTTGGGAAAAGACAAACAAAAGAGTAAAAAAGAAAGACAAGTGATCAAAAGACACATTCAAAGACAGAATAAGTAACAGCTTATTTCAATGCCTGCCTGGCCCTGGTGGCCGCTGCCAGTGTGCCAGCTCCTCAGCCTCAGACTTAGCAGTAGTTCAAAATCTTCTCTAGCTTCAACATGTCCAAGGGGGGGATTTTGGTGACTTCAAAGAAGACCTGGTGAGAATACTTGGAATGCACAGTCTTGAGCTTGTTGCAAGGACGCAATGTCAGCAGGGTGTTTAGCTGCTTGACCAAGGGGTGAAGATCAGAGGTCTTGTAGCCACTGTAATACTCCAGGGCAGGAGCCCAGTGTCCGAGCTTCTTCATATAGAGGGCCAGGAGGAAGGAGCCAGCAGCTAGTTTGGAAGCCTTCTCCTGGACATAGTCGTATTCCTGCAGAGTCATCTCACAGATGAAGCGGGACAAAGTCAGTGTCTTCATGTTGGCACGGAGACACCTAGCATATCTGCGCAGGAAATGATAGGCGATGGGAATGTTGATATCAAATTTGAGAGTTTGCAGGATGCTGATTTCCATGGTGAGCATCTCATCTCGCTGATAAATATCATCACAGATGTACAGGAAGTCATCCACACAAGGTGGGTAGGACTCCTCAAATTTTGCTGCAATCAGAAATGCAGTGGAACCAAGGAGTTGTAGCTTGTCCCTCTTGCATACTACCTCCATAAGGTAATGATCCACCAGTTTCACTGCCAAGTACAGGGTCTCGTGACTCATCTCAAAGGTCATCTGCACCTCTACCAACCAGTCCACAAGAATGGCCCTCATGCAACTGCTGATGTCAGTCTGCCTGTTCATGTATTTTTTAAGTATGAACTTTTCCTCTCTCTCTTTCATGTAACTGAAGATATCCTTGGCATATATTGGGTTGAAAAATGGATCACTGTGGTTCTTGTCAATATCCTCCAATGGGGCTACCTCCTCAGTAGTGGTTGTTTTAGAGATGGTAGGTATCTCCAGAATGAGTGGTTTCTCCATAATATTTGGTACCAAGGCAGTAGAGACTACTACTGGTGAGGGTTCCAGCTTATAACTTTCCTTATTCATCTCATTGTTTTTGGCCAACCCAAGAGCAGCTGTGTTCCCTTTTATCTTCTTGGAAACATCTTTAACAAACTCCTTATTGGATTCCTTCTTGAGCTGGGCAGGTTGACTTTGAGAAGCATTGGTGAGATCTTCAAAAGCTGATCTCTTTTTGCATCGTCTCTTAGGTGAACATGAAGAGATCTTTGCTTGATAATTCTCCCCTCTCTTTTCAGATTGGCCATGATCACTGGGCACAATTTTGCTCGACTGTGATTTCTTAGTCTCAGGTTTGGAGCTTCGGGATGGTAGAGGCAGTGGCATCTCTCACAGGTTCAGCAGTGTCTATCCAAGATAGGGCGCTCAGAAGAAGTGCCTCGGAGCCACTTCTATAAACATTCTTGTGCAGGTTTTTGTGTAGACATAAATTTTCTATACTATAGAAAAGTATAGAGCTCAGAAGTAGAGAAAGTATAGAAAGCTCAGAAGTAGATCCATGCAAATATAGTCGACTGGTCTTTGACAAAGAAGCAAAGGCAAATCAATGGAGAAAGGATAGTCTTTTTAACAAATGGGCCTGGAACAACTGGACATTCACAAGCAAAAACATGAATCTGAATGCAAACCTTACACCTTTCACAAAAATCAACTCAAAACAAATCACTGATCTAAACATGGTACACAAAGCTATACAACTTCTAGAAGACAACACGAGAAAATCTAGCTAATCTTGGATTTGGTGATTATTTTTTAGATCCAACACCAAAACACCAAAAGTATGATCTATGAAAGAAATTATTGATGATTTGAACTTCATTAAAGTTAAGAACTTCTCTTCTGTGAAAGACACTGTTAAGAGAATCAAAAGACAAGCCACAGAGTGGGATAAAATATTTGCAAAACAAATATATGATAAAAGACTTGTATCCAAAATACAAAAAAAAATTCTTAAAACTCAACAATAAGAAAACAAAGTATCCAATTAAAAAATGGGCAAAATATCTGAGCAGGTACATTTCCAAAGAAGATATACACATGGCAAATAAGCATATGAAAAGACATTCAATATCAAATGTTATCAGGTAATCGCAAATCAAAACAATAATAAGATACCACTCCACACCTATTATAATGGCTAAAATCTGAAACAATGATAACAGCAAATGTTGACAAAGATGTGAGCAACAGAAACTCTCATTCATTGCTGGTGGGAATGCAAAATAGTACAGCCACTTGGGAGGAGTGTCTGTCAGTTTCTTACAAAGCTAAACATAGGCTTGCCATATGAGTCAGCAATTGCACAACTAGGTATTTGCCCAAATGAGTTAAAAATTTATGTCTACACAAAAACCTGCACAAGAATGTTTATAGAAGCTTTATTCATACCTGCCTGAAGTTGGAAATAACTAAGTTGTCCTTTAATAGGTGAATGGATAAACAAACCATGGTACATTTATACTGTTGAGTATTATTCAGTGATAGAAGAAGTGAGATATCAAGCTATGAAAAGACATGAAGGAAACTTAAATACATATTGCTAAGTGAAAGAAGCCAATCTGAAAAAGCTACATATTGCTTAATTCAAATTATATGACATTCTGGAAAAGGCACAACTATGAAAACAGTAAAGGGATCAGTGGTTGCCAGTGGTCCAGAGGAAGTGGAGAGAGGGAGTACAGGACATTTTTTTTTTTTATCTTTTCCTATTTATTTATTTAAATTCAATTAATTAACATATAATATATTATTAGTTTCAGAGGTAGAGTCAGTGCTTCATCAGTCTTATATAATACCCAGTGCTCATTATATCATGTGCCCTCCTTAATGTCCATCACCCAGTTTCCCCATCCCCCACCCCCTTCTGCTCCAGCAACCCTCAGTTTATTTCCTATGATTAAGAGTCCCTTATGGTTTGTCTCCCTCTCTGATTTCATCTTGTTTTATTTTTCCCTCCCTTTCCCTATGCTCCTCTGATTTGTTTAATTCCACATATGAGTGTAATCATATGATAATTGTCTTTCTCTGATTGACTTATTTCGCTTAAGATAATATCCTCTAGTTCCATCCATGTCCTTGCAAATGGCAAGACTTCATTTTTTTGATGGCCGAGTAATATTCCATTTTATATATATATCATCCATCTTCTTTATCCATTCATCTGTCAATGAACATCTGGGCTCTTTCCATAGTTTGGCTATTGTGGACATTGCTGCCACAAATATTGGGGTGCAGATGTCCCTTCGGATCACTACATTTGTATCTTTGGGTAAATTTTTTTTAAAGATTTTATTTATTTATTTGACAGAGAGAGAGAGACACACACACAGTGAGAGAGGGAACACAAGCAGGGGGCGTGGGAGAGGGAGAAGCAGGCTTCCCCCGGAGCAGGGAGCCCGATGCGGGGCTCGATACCAGGATCCTGGGATCATGACCTGAGCCGAAGGCAGACACTTAAATGACTAAGCCACCGAGGCGCCCTGTATCTTTGGGTAAAGATACTAGCAAGTAGTGAAATTGCTGGGTCGTAGGGTAGCTCTATTTTTCAATTTTTTGAGGAACTTCCATACTGTTTTCCAGAGTGGAGCACAGAACATTTTTAGGAGAATGAAACTATTCTGTATGATATTCTGATGGAGAGGGTAGGACATTACACATTTGTCCAAACCCACAGAACTGTATAACACAGAGTGAGCCCTAATGTAAACTTTGAACTTTAGTATAAATTTGGTTCATCAGTTGTAACAAATGTACCACACAAATGCAAAATGTCAAAAATTGGAGAAACTGTGCAGGGGAAGGAGAAGCAATATATCAGAGCTTCCTGTACTTTCTTGTAGTTTTTCTGTAAATCTAAAAGTGCTCCAAAAATTAGTCTATTGAAATAAAAAGTCATTTGATAAAGTTCAATATCATTCATGTTAAAATTTCTTAGTTTTTATCAATGAAAGGATAACTTTTGAATGTGGTAATATCTATCTTTAGCCACCAGTCAACAACTTTTTTCCCATTTCTCTTCCTTTTACTATAAAATTCCTTGAAAATGTTGGCTTTATTCACTTTCCCCATTTTCTCATCTTTTAGTCTATCCTAATTCTGTCATTGTAATGAAGCTTATCTTGTTTACCAAATAACAATTGCTACCATATTGCCAAAAAAACCCACAAAACAAAACCCCCTAATGGTTGACTTCAGTCATAATTTTTTTTCAGTCATCACTTCCCAACAGAATGTAATAAGATTTGGTCTCCATAATAGCACCTTCTCATTTCCTCCTACTTCATTGACAAGTCATGATCAGTTTCCTTTGCTGGCTCTTTCTTTTCATTCTGATTTCTAAATTTTGGAGTGCTACCAGACTCGATCTTCCTCTCTGCTTTCTTTTCTTTTTTCTTTTCTTTTCTTTTCTTTTCTTTTCTTTTCTTTTCTTTTCTTTTCTTTTCTTTTCTTTTCTTTTCTTTTTTCTTTTCTTTTCTTATTATTTTTAAAGATTTTATTTATTTGACAGAGAGACAGCGAGAGAGGGAACACAAGCAGGGGGAGTCGGAGAGGGAGAAGCAGGCTTCCCGCTGAGCAGGGAGCCCGATGCGGGACCCTGAGATCATGACCTGAGCCAAACGCAGATGCTAAATAACTGAGCCACCCAGGTGCCCCCCTGCTTTCTTTTCTACGTATCCTCCCTTCTCAGATGATCTCATCTAATACCATGGCTTTCTTTACATAACATTTATATATTTATGGCTTCCGAATTTTTACCTCTGACCCTGACCTTTTCTCTGAGTTTTAAATTCACAAACTCAATCATCTTCACATGGATTCTAAGAGGTCTACCACATACAGTTTTGTAGGGTAGTATTCAAACATCAGCGATGTCTATCTATCTATCTGTCTATCCATCCACCTATTTACCCCAGGGACATTTATATAATATAATTAAAAATAAAAATATACAGATATTAAAAGTGTGGGCTGGGGTGCCTGGGTGTCTCAGTCGGTTAAGCCTCTGACTCTTGATCTCAGCTCAGGTCTTGATCTGGGGGTTGTGAGTTCAAGTCCCACACTGGACTCCATGCTGGGCATGGAAACTACTTAAAAAAAAATGTGGGCTTAAGAACTCATTGAGTGTTTTTTTCCTTGGTTTCTGAATGCATACTTGGAAAAGACCTACTCAACAATGGACAGAATTTCCACGTTGCCTTTCTGACTTGTGGAATGAAGGTCATTATGGTAGGAAAGGCCAAGTGAAAGCCATGAAACTGACTACAGTAAATAGTCTTGTAGGGGAAATTCAGATTTTAGTGTCATCATCAATACCTTAAAAGATATAGGGGTGGTGATTCACCTCATTTAACTTCTTGTTTGGCCTATGTAGAAGGTGGATGGATTTTGGATATTGACAGTGGATTATCACAAATTTAATTAGGTGATGACTCCACTGTAGCTGCTGTTCCAAATATTGTCTTTTTTGCAAGCAAATCTGCACAGCCTTGCACCTGTAAAGCTATTTATCTGGATATATCTCTATATCTGTATCTATCATTCCAAAATGAAAGACAAGTTGCTACAGTATATGCTGTATCATGAAGAAATAAAAACAATTTGGTGTTCCTTTTGGATTTTGAAAGGGACATATGCTGCATTTAATTGTGCTGCTTGGACCTATTTACCAAGAGATATTTCCAACTGAAGCTCTTGGTTTTCAGTGGAGCCCAAAGAAAGAGAAGATTCTGGAGCAAAATTAGGCTACAGGGCAAGTAACTATGCTGTTTTATGGTCTAACCAAGCTAATGATGCTTACATTCAATGTGACATATTTGGGTACTATAGACGCTAGAGCATGCTCCTGAAGGAACTCACATTGTAGGCTCTTAGGATTTTGGAACAAAGCTACACTTTCTCTAGAAAATTACTCTTTTCCTTTTGGAAACTTCTGAATTGCTATCAGGCCTTGGTGGGTAGAAACTTAATACCTGATCATGGGACTCTAAGAGAACATACTGCTGGAGATGCACATTATAAAGTGGGCATCACTTAATCAAAGCCATGATGTTGGGTGTGTGCAGCAACCACGGTGACTAATTTTCCCAGTTTGCCTGGACTGAGAAGGTTACTAGAGGGATTTTCAGTGCTAAAACTGAGAATGCCCTAGGCAAACTGGGAAAAGCATTACATCAATTAAAAGTGACTTAGATGTACAATAGGACTTGATTGCACAAGTAAATTGTATGATTCAGACATCGTGTATCTACTGTTGCTTTGCCAACTTTCCCTAAACCCATTCCATGGCCTCATGGGGAATTTTCTGTGATGATTTGACAAAGGAAGAAAATTCTAGCCTTGTCTATGTATGGTTCCACA